TTACGACATGGGAGGAGCTAGAGGAGCAATTCATGGCGAAATACTACTCCCCAGAGAAGACCCGAGCCGCACAGAGAGCCATACATAGCTTCACTCAGGAGAGTGACGAGAGTCTATACGACACATGGAAAAGATTCGAAGGCTATCAATGTCTTTGTCCACACCACGGCATGGATAAGCGACTGTTGCTTTCCACGTTCATCCACGGACTGAGAGACGATACTAGAGCATAGATGGATGCAGCATGTGGAGGGAGTGTATACGACATTCCCTTTGACATCCTAGAGATGCAGATCGCCAAGATGGCCAAAGCAAGAGGGATGTCAGGAGACAACATCAGACGCTCTACAGGACGGGTAGATTTGGGCGAGTCCGCTGCTTCGAAGGCAGTCATGTCTGATTTATCGGCGATCAAGCAGCATATGGGACTCAAGAATACGTCTAACCCGCAGAAAGTTCAGCCTGGAATGTTCTTGGTAGATCAGGCCACATCAGAGGAAGAACCGGTTGATGACGTCAACTATGTGGGAAGGAATCAATACCAGAATCCTTCCAACACTACAAAAAAACTGTTTTTTTGCAACGAAAAATTTGCGTTGCAAACAGCGTAATTTCGTTGCAAAATGGAGAATCCCCCGAGCTTCACTCAGTCACGTTTTCAGGGGCAGAATCAGGGATATGCACAGCAGAATCCAGGATATGGGCAGCAGAATCAAGGTTACCGAGCGTCTCAACCTGCGAAGAACGATGAAGTAGACATTAAGACGATGCTCGCCCAGCTAATGCTCGATCAGAAGACATCATTCACTGAGCTGAAGACTGAGATACAAAGCATAAAATTCAGACAAGACAATTTTGAGAGGAGATTAGATGGGGTCGAAGCTCATCTGAAGCTTGTCGATACTCAGATTGCACAACTTGCATCGCATGTCTCCAGACCACATGGTACATTCCCGGAAGAGCTTGAGCCGAATCCACGAGAACACGTCAATGTCATTCAGCTTATAAGTGGAGAGAGTCTGCCTGAGACGGTCCCTATTACTATAACACAAAAAGGGATGACGTCTAGATACACTGCTGAAGAGAAAGGAAAAGTCGTAGCTCACGAGACACCTAAGGTGCATGTAGAGGAAGCCGAACAGCCATATGTAGCTCCTCCACCTTATGTACCACCCGTTCCTTTCCCTTCTCGATTGAAGAAGCATACTGAGGATACACAGTTGTCTAGATTTGTTGATATGCTTCGGAAGTTAGAGGTTAAGATGCCTTTCTATGAGACGATACTCCAGATCCCTTCTTATGCAAAATTTTTGAAAGATATCTTGACTAAGAAGAGGGTGATTGGGAAGGAGACAGTATCCTTGAGCACAGAGGTGAGCGCTGCAATTCTACAGCATGAGTTGCCACGGCAGAGATCGGATCCAGGTAGTTTCTCGATTCCTTGCAAAATCGGGAACATTGAGATTGACCGTGCGTTGTGCGATCTGGGTGCCAGTGTGAGCTTGCTTCCATTGTCTATCTATAAGAAGCTCAACATTGGAGATCTTAAGCCGACGGGGATGGCACTATAGCTTGCGGATAGATCCGTCAAGTATCCTGCAGGTATTCTCGAGGATGTCCCATTGAAAGTCGGGGATTATTATGTTCCCGTTGATTTTGTTGTTTTAGATATGGACGAGGACTCGAAGATACCGATTATACTAGGCCAACCGTTCTTAAACACGGTCGATGCGGTGGTTCATGTTCGTGCTGGTCGTCTTACGATGAAGATAGGTGACGAGACTGTGGAGTTCACCTTAGATCACAACATGAAGCAGCCATCCACCACCGATTCAGCATGCTATGTCGATGTGCATGAAATCCTCACTCAAGAAGCCTTCGATCAGTTTCGGGAAGTCGATCCTTTAGAGATATCTCTCCTTGCATCGAATGAGAGCATATACAACAATTGGGAGGATATCCGGGAGCTTACGCGAGCATTGAACGAAGGATCGGACGAAATTGTAGTTTTACAGAAGATGGATCCGGACCGATTCCACCTGGAAACGGACCGGATCCAAACACAGCCTTCCGAAGATGGATTTTTACAGAAGGTGGATCCGGACCGATTCCACCTGGAAACGGACCAGATCCAAACACGGTCTTGCGAAGACAAACTGGAAACGGACCGATTCCAGGTGGAATCGGACTGGATCCAGTCTCTGAGCAAATCGGACGTTTTTCACATCGACACGCCCGATTCTTCTACGAACGTCCCCGAACCCTCCACGACGATTACTAAAGGTGTTCTAGAGACCAGAGAGCCATCACTTTGCATGGGGACGCTGAATAAAGCGGATTGGAGTCTAGAGAACGTCCCGAAGGTGAAATTGAAGCCCTTACCTCAAAGGTTTAGGACAAAGGAACACACATACACGGATAGGAACACAGGACAATCATTGGAGAGAGGTA